TGTCCATGACTATTTAAATTCTTCTTCAACTATTTAAGCTTCTCCTACTGCAATTTAAATCTACTATAGCTACTTAATTATCTAAGAGATGTTCCATCTTCGTGAGTAACTGTTTAACTCTTGCGTAACTATTGATAAAAAAAAACTGATTTTACTCTGATTGTTAGTTTTATTCAAAATATATATTTAGTTGTATTTTTTGTTTATCACATTATTGACCAGAATTCTTCGATAAAAAAAAAGTATAACTATAGTGTCAGTTACAAGTATATTGAAATCATCTGCTAACTTGTATGTCTCTCTGATACAATTGAGCAGGGTTCGAGAATGAAAAAAAAAATCCTTTTATCATTCATATAGTGCATTGTATGTTTTATCATATTGTTGAGGAGAGTTTTATAAAAAAATAAAGTATATGATTCTGATAAAAAAAAACTATCACCTGAGCAGGGTTTGATGAAAAAAAGTCATTTTATTTGATGATGAAAATAATATCATCATACTATCATTTATAAATTAATCTAAATGATATAGAGACTTTTGTTTCTTGATTAGATGATTCAGCAGGGTCTGATGAAAAAAAAAAATTATATGATTTTATCATCTGTCTTTTTGTATCTATTTTGAAATTTTGAATAGCTATATTTTCAATAACTATGTGAAATTTTCAATAACTATGTGAAATTTTAAATAGCTATAGGGAATTTTAGATAGCTGCAGTGGTTAAAATAGCCGAAACACTTTAAATAGCTATGATTTTTTTAAGTAGCTGTACCTTTTTTAAATAGCTATATGTTTAATTATAAAGTATCTCTTTTGAGAATATTTGTGTTTTTTTAAGTAGCTATAGCTTTTTTAAATAGCTATATACTTAATTAAAAAAGTATCTCTTTTGAGAAGCTACGACGTGCGAGACCACACATGACTCTTGTTGTTGAAAATAACTGTATGCAACACTCTAATGTATTTATTGACAGAATATATGACTCGCATGTAAAAGCGAAAATGTTATTAGCGTGTACCTGCAAGGTGGCTAGAATTTGCTAAATTCTGCATGTTAATGCTAAAGTGTCATAGTTAAGAACATTATTACCAAAGCGATTTTTGGACAGCATACAAATTTTGGTTTTTAGTAATATTCAAGCTATTGTATGCATAAATTTAGTTTTTTTCTTCGATGTGTATTTAAGTATTTCTCATTAAAATGACATCGCTCTCATATATCCACAGTATATTGGTCTAAAAACTTTGTTCAATTTTTCGAATTCATCTTTAGTTATTGGAGTTCATATTCATACGTCCTTAGCATTTATCTGATGTTCATTATATGGATGGTATAGATGTAGGTGAAGAAATTCATCTTGTAGAGTAATAGTGTGTATGATTGAACCTTACCTTTTGAAAGAGTCCGACGCGTTCATGTATGCGTACAATATGTGTTTCATTTTTTTGGTCATTCTGAACATGTCTTGTATCCACTCACGTGGGTTCTTTACAGAAGCATTCTTATGTTCTCGTATTCACTGACAATGTTAAACATGTACATGCTCTAAATTTTATGCACATTAAACATCAATATAGTCTATCCTGTAATGCGTTTCCAAGTATGCTCAGTCATAACGACGCTTGTGTGTACATGCATTGAATAAGCTTTCGCATTTTCCTGAAGAGTTTACGACTATAGTGAAGAATCAACAAAGGACAGAAGTAGAGATAGATCATTCTCTGATATTAGAAGAATGAAAATATTTCTCTTCTTCCTACCAGCTAATTAGTTTTGACATTTTTTCTATTGTTGAATCATGCATCACCAAACATTTAGATCTATACACGCAATTGAACACTAGCTTTCATTGAAGCTATTAATCCTAAAATATTCTTCACGAACTGAGGATTCGAATAACAGTTCTCGTTGTAGAGCAACGAGAAAGAAAAATCATTGTACGTAATACTAATGAACTTCAAAAACTTATCCTTAGAAAACAAGAATAAAAATGGTTTAAATTCATAGCTTGGCAGCTAGCTAGAAGTGAAGTCATAACCCATAGTCAGATACATAGGAAAATCACTCACATGGAGAATAGGGTTCTTCGAAATTTAGGATTCGATGTACTAGTAATACGATAGTCCTTAGTGATGGCAATGCTTTGAAGATTTTCACCCATCTTAGTTTAGAATATATGTAGTATCGTAGATAAATAAAGATATTAACCTATAATATTTTATACTCCCCATAGATTTTATCATATTGTACGCTAGGCTGATAGTATAGTAATGGATTTCAAGCAGAAGCACTAAAGATGATCGTTCTTCGTTTCGAAAACGTTGTCTATTTCTCTAAACAAAAAAAATCTATATATGATCTGATAATACCTCCAATAGACTTACAGTTACGTGTCTTGACGGTCATCGCCACCATTCTTGTTGAAGCTTCTCAAGATTCAAATAAATTACTTGTTGCACGATAAATTAATTTAACATTATTACTTTCGAAGAAAAATATAGCTTTTCAATGATCGATTTATGATTAGTCCATTTTGTTAGAGAAACATTTTTCAATACTTTCTTTTGACATTACAAACTGTTCTCATCACAATGTATTTCAATATTATGTTGACATTTATCAAACAGAATGTATGTGATTGGTATTTAAGGACAAAATACTTAGTATGGCGATATTCTCCTACTAATGCATAATCCAGTCTGAATAATACCTCTTTCTATTACCGGTGCAAAAATGCTAGAGGTCGTAATCAATGACATCTCTAGAAATTTAACATATAAATGAAAAACATATTAGCGCAAACCTTGCAGAGTAAAAAAAAAAAGTCAAGCTCGATGTACCTGCGATTGTCATCATACAACGATTGTTTAATTCTATCTATTTTGAGAAGTATTACTTTAATATCTGTTCACTTAATCTTTCAGAAATGCAATAAGTAAATATTTCATTTATTATAACGAAACGTTATTGATAAAGCATTTATGATCATATATCAACGACGTCTGTCACAATTGTGGAGGTGAGAGATGGTTCAAATTTCTACTCCTATACTTCAACACTTATTTTAGATCAAATTTCACAAAATAAATATTCCTAAGAAATATTCTATATTTTACAACTCGTAGCCAAACTTTTGTCTTACAGAAAATAAAATCTTCCGAAAGGAATCATAAATATTTATAAAGACTTTGTATGGTTCGAATTAGATGAAAGTGAATTTTCATTTATGATACAATGAAAAGTATTTCTCTATCTATTCTATTTACTTTTCGTAAAAATAAAAATATATCAATCCATGTTTCTTTTTCTCCATAAAAGATTATTTTCCTAACTGTAACTATTTGTTTTTTTTATTTGTTATCTATTCATTGATTGTTATTTTGTTTTTATCTAATTGTATAACAATATCAAAAAGAAAAAGAAAAAAAAAGAGACATACAAAACAAACGGATTCTAATTAATTTTGTGTTTGACGTAATTGAGCAATTTGTATTTTAAGTTCATCAATTTCTTGTTGTAAACAATCAGCTTCAATAGTTTGTGGAATTTTTGAACGAAGAATAGCTTTAAATTGTTCAAGTGGTGATGAATATAACACAGAACATGATACATTAAGTTGTGTTACACAATCTGTTAATGCATCAATAGAACCTGACATTTCCAAATAGACTTGAAAAGCTTGTAAACGATTAAATAATTCTGTTGATAATGATAATGAAGGTGATGATGATGATGATGATGATGTTCGATCTGATGATGATGATGAACCTGATACACAATCAATTATTGGTGAATTGGGAGGAATTAATGACATCCTTATTCGATATAGAAATATAAAAAATGAAGTAACCTTTACGTTCTTTTTTATGAATAAATATGAATCAGTCCGTAAACAATTTTCCCTCCCTTCTCTCTCTCTCTCTCTTTCTGTTTCTTTTCTCTCGTTTACTCAATAACGAACAGCCTTCGTAAGAAGATGAAAAAGAAAATCTTTTATTTCATATTTCTTTCTTTTTTCTTTTTTTTAAAGTTTTAACATAAAAAGTTTTTATTTATCTATTTTACAATACAACAGCGCGCCCTCTATTGTTCCAACAAGAATCGCTTATTCCGTCCGGAATATATTTCTTAATATTAATTTACTGTTTGACATAGTACATCAATAAGTATAAAATGCATGAGTAACTAGATCAGAACGAAACGAAATAGTTTTCATCATAACAATCATTTTTACTTATTTTCTATGATGACATATCATATATTTTCTACATTGTTTTTTATGTTAAACATTCTTCATGTATTATCAAAATCAAAGATAATATCAACAACAACATTATCTCCATTACAATCTATAAATGATAAACCTTTCATAACACAATTTCTTGTTTTTTCTTCAAATTCAGAAACACTTTTTGGATTTGAACCAAAACATGGTTGGATTCTTAATGCAGACAAGAAATTTCGTCTTTATATAAGTGGTTTTAATCTTCAAAATAATTCAATTGCATTTTCAGCTTTACAAGATGAATGTACATCAAATGATTTTATATCACCTATTTATAATTTATCATCAGCATCAATTATTGAACTTGATGTTCATCTTCAACGTGTATCAAAAGTTCATTCATCTATATTTCTTTGTCTTATACCATCAATAGAAATATCATTAAATAACAGTTTATTACAAAATGGTACACAATTAAAAGGACCATATTTTACATTCTTCCGAGAAAAAACTACATTACCATTGGCAGCAAAAATATGTTTAGTTTTGATGTTATTTGTTTTTTCAGGTTTTTTTAGGTAAAAGAAAATTGATTATTTTATATTTTTATTATTTGTTATTGTTGTTTCTTTTTTTTTTTGGAATGAAATTTAGTGGTTTAAACTTAGGTTTAATGTCATTGAGTGTTGATGATTTACGTTTACTTGCTGAATCTGATGATTCTTCAATGCGTTATTATGCTAAACGTGTTTTACCATTAAGAAAACGTGGCAATTTTTTATTATGTTCAATTGTTTTAGCTAATGTTTTAAGTAATTCATTAGGAACAGTTTTACTTGATTCAATTGTTCATGGTTTATTTGCTGTTATTGGTTCAACAGTAATGATTGTACTTCTGGGTGAAATTATTCCACAAGCTATATGTTCTCGTTATGGATTAGTTATTGGTGCACATACACATCTTTTAACATGGGGTTCGATGATTGTAACAGGAATTATTTCATATCCGTTAGGTTTTATTCTTAATAAAATTCTTGGTCAAGAAGTAACAGCTTCTTATACACGTGATCAAATAACTCGAATGTTAACAAAAATTAATGCTGATATTGAAAAACCTGAACTTGATGTTATTACAGGTAAGTTAAAAAAAGAAATCTGCTTATAAAATAAATATTTACTTAAGTTTGAATAGGTATATGAAAGTAGTAGTTAAATATTATGTAAATTCGTAATTGTATCGAAATCTATTGATTTAAACTTTGAGTACAGTTTTTTTCTTTACCTTGTTTCTTATTGAGGATCTCGGACTTTGAACTAACAAATGAATGCAATTGAGAACTGTAAAATAAATGGATTAGATTTGACAAAAAAAAAAATTTATTCGAATGATCTCAAAATCAAAACTATTATAAGTTTTATAAAGTTTTAGAAATGAAAAAAAATCTATTAAAATTGAAAAATATTTATATAATATTATACTTTTTAAGGTATACTTTCATTACGTAAGAATACTGTACGCGAAGCAATGACTTTGTTACCTGATGTTTATATGCTTGATAAAGATCGTAAAACAGATGCTGAATTATTACTTGATGTACATAAACATGGTTATTCACGTATTCCTGTTTATTCAAACGAAAGGTTGCGTGTTTTGTTGTTTATTTGATTAAATATTTTACATATTTATATCTTTTTCAGATCAAATATTATTGGTATTGTTAAATTAAGAGATTTTGCTTTAATTACACCAGAACAATATCATTTAACAGTAAAACATGTTCTTGAATTTCACAATCGTATGTAAAACTTTATTTCGTAATGTTTATTTTAATTTTTTTTAAATGCTAAATAGATCCATATGGTCATGCCAAAGCAACCGATTCATTATATGATTTAATGCAAGAATTTCTTAAAGGTATAAATACAATTAACATCTAATAAAATATGAATAATTTTATTGTTTTAAATTACAGCACATTGGCATATTGCTTTGGTACAAGATATTCGTACTGAAGAAGATCAATTTGATCCAGTCTCTACCACAGTTGGTATCATTACACTTGAAGACGTTTTTGAAGAAATTTTACAAAGAGAAATTATAGAAGAAACAGATCTTTTCAGTAAATTCATTTTTATTGCTAAGGAAAAAAAAAACAAATTTAAATAACTTTTATTTATATATATATTTTTTAGCTGATAATCGTCGAAAAATTCGACGTAAACGTGCTAAAACATTGGATTATACAGCATTAGCTAAACGATCTGTTAAAGGTTGATTAGAATTTTTGTTTTTGAATTCTACAACATAAAATTTTTCAAATCAGGTCCTTCAATATCTCCACAATTAAAAATAGCTGTATTTCAATTTTTAAGTACAAGTAAGTTTTTTGAATATTTCTATGCTTTTCAAATTACTAATTGTCATTTCAACTATGAATATACTAATTTTAACAGCATGCTCTATTCTAATTATAGTTTGTACATATAATTTTTTAACGGTGCGTAAACTATATTTATAATTGGTGTTTTGAAGTTTCTTTTTTTTTGAAAATATTTTGCGTAATAATCTTGCAGTAATTTTTATTCTTTTCAAACGAAGAAAAAAAACAAACAAACAAAATAACCTATATGATATTTATTTAGATGTGCAACAATTTACATCAGGTTTTATATCTCAAGAGATATTAAAAATTCTTCTTAATTATAATATTTATGCAATAATTAAACAACAAACAAATCAAACAAATAATTCTATATATTTATATAAAAAAGGTTTTCGATATGAATTATTTACATTAATTATTCAAGGAAATGCAACATTAGAATCTGGTATTGAACATATAATGTCTACTGTTGGTCCATTTAGTTTTTTTGCAACATCAGCACTTCTTGGTAAAAGAAATAAAAAAAAAAGAAACGAGATAATTATTTTTAAAAATAAAATTTTTTTTTTTTTTTTTTTTTTTTTTTAAGCGGAAGATAAAACTATAAAAGATGTTCATAAATTTCTTGATCGTCTATGTACAACAAATAAAAACATAACTAATATAACAAATTTACTTGATGAAATATCTTCGATATTTTTTCCGGATTATAATTTAATTGTTAATAGTGAATTACATGTTTTACAAATTCATCGTCTTGTATGGTTAGCAGCTGTTCGAGCAACACAACGACTACGTAGTAATGATCCACATCAAAAACGTATGCAACCAGAACAATTATTATCAAATGCACTTGCTGAAATAGTAAGTGACAAATGAAAAAAGAATTATTCATTTAAAAAAAATGTGTGTTTTTTGTATTTTCTATTTCTTTTTAAGTCATCGGTAACAAATGTTCGAATTGATAAAAATAATTTAACTAATTTTCAACGTGTATTTCTTAATGAAAAAGATCTTATACATCATGTTACACAAACAAAAAATACAAATACAGATACAGATATTAATAATCAATCATCATCATCATTTGTTTTTGAAAATATTCATTCCTCAGATGTAGATAAACATGATAATTCAAATGAACAACAACAAGAAATAAATAGTCCTAGAGATGATTCAATAGAAAAACATATGCAATCACCGACAGCTATTGGTTGTAATCCACTTCTTGTGAACGTATGTGATAGTGAATCAAATAATAAAAGTCGTGCCAATAAACAAAGTCATAATAATTCAAATAATTCATGTAGTTCAAATGAAGTTTCTGATTCAATGATGAATATTAATCAAATGTTTGGTGGTACAAATGAAAATGTAAATAAATATTCCTATATATATATATTTTGATTTATTTGTATTTTCTCTATAAAATGAGGTTCTAGAGAAAACAGTATAAAATAAAACATAGTTATACAAGAATTGGTTTTTATTAGAAAGATTAAAATTAATTTTTGTATTCAGTAAATTCTTGGATAGGAATTTGTATGTTGATTAGTTAATTTATGTTAAATAATAAGAAATCATTGATATTAATTCAGAATTGATCTATTTTACCATTCAGATTACTTTATTAATTTAAAAATTTTCTATTGCTATAAAAAAAAAAATTCACGACCATTTTCTTATTATATCATCCAATACTTTATTCGAATTTTGATAAGCTTTTTTTTTTTATTATAAATGATAAAGATATTTAATTGACCTTATGAGAGTTTAGTTAATATATTCAAGGATAATGGAAGGTTAATAGTCAATTCAGTCTTCAGATGACAGTAAAAAAATTTTTTTTTTTTGTTTCTTCATTAAAACCTTCGAATTCATAAGAGTTATTTTTACCTTTTGGTTATTTCTTGAATATCTTTATTTATCAATGGATTTATATACGTTAGCACACAAAAAAAAAACCAAGGTTATTTTTAACTTTCGATAACAATAACACTAAGGATATTTTTGTTGTTGTTGTCATTACTGATATATTTATTTATATATATATATTTAGACAAACGATGATATTCATGGTCAAGAAAGAGAACATTTAATTCATCAAGGTGATTATAAAAATGATCAACGGCAACAACGAACAAGATCTCCAACTAATTTATCTCATTCTCATTCGGATACAAATATAAATGATGAAGACTTCATCATTTAATCAAAAAAGAAATAATAATCACCATAATCCCATCGATGAATCTAGACGTGTTCGCTCAATGCTTAATACAATAAAATGTTCACCTTCATAACAATTGGTATTTATATATGCATATGATGAATTTTTTTCTTTTATTTCTATTCGTAAATATTTTTTCTTTTATTAGTATTGAATATTAATTTTGTTCAAGCATAATTTGTAAAAAATACTTGAGTTTATTTTTTTTTTTCGGTTTTCATTTTTACGTATATATTGTCTCATTTCTTCTTTCATTTCAAAATTTAAAAAAAAAAAAAAAAGAAAAAAAACTAAATCACAAGAAATTATTTTTTTTTTTGCTTATATATTCACATATTTATTCGTTCATTCGATAGGATCAAGGAAAAGAAACGAAAGAAAACTTGAAAATCAGATCGATAATCCAAATACAGAGACAATAGCATACATGGATTTGTTTTCCCAACTAAAATAAAAAAAAACAAAAAAAAATAAGCAATTTCCTCTGTTTTTTATTTATATATATGAAAAATTAATTTATAATTTATTCTTACCGAACAGTACATGAACCATCGGTTGTATTATCCCAAAAGCATGAACTTGCTGTATGTAAACCAGCTCCATTTTTTTGCATAATAACACATGATACAATATATTTAAATGGTTTATTTAATTTTGTTAATGAATTAAGAATAGCTTCAACAATATTTGATGTCCATGTATTAATTTTTGCTTGTTGATATGATTGTGAACCAATTGTTGCTTCAATCGATTCTTTTATTACATTTGATACTTCATCAACAACAAAACTTGTTTCATTTGTATCATCCATTATTTTTTATATGCTATCGAAATTATTGTACAATATGAGAGAAAAATCTAAAAAAAAAACAAAAAAAGGAAAAAAATTCAATCTAAACAAACGAATTTGCGAACTCATCTTATGCACTATAAAAACATGTATGTTATTTTTTTTTTTTTTTTCTAAACATCTATAAATATGTATGATGAAATAGAATACAAAATAGCTTTTATTCTTTCTCTTTCTTTCTCACCTAATTCGATAGATATGTCTCTATAGGGACCAAGTTCACCATTTCTATGAGAAATACAGGTATATAGCAAAATAAACTGAGTTAAGTGGCAAAACGACGTGTGAATATACAATTGTACATATATTCTTCTTCACCAACATCACACATACACATGCATCCCACAAGCTCTGGGCAAACAAGCAATAGCAAGAATAAAGAAGCTATGGCGAGAGAAAAAAAAAAACCGAGAGAAAGTAAAAAAAAATGTGCGTGTGTATGCCTGTAAGAGAATTCAAATATGTTTATATACGGTGACGACAGTGGTTGCCGTTGCTGTTGTTTGAAGAAGAACGGATAGAGAGAAACAAAAGAGAAAAACGGGCATGGTGGCCGTGGTAACTCTATCGGTGTTCATTCATTCTTTTTTCAAAATGTTTTCTACTATTTTATATGCTGGTGTCGATATATGGTTGTTACAAAAGAGAAAAATCGATTGGACGAATGGCATAAATTTCTTCTCTTTTTCTTTGATTTTCAAAATAACTAGAAAAGAGAAAAAAAAAACCGAGATTTAAAGGTGAAAATGTCGACAAGAAATGTTGAAATAGAATGAGTAGTACTGGCAACAACTAAAACATCATTCTTTGGCTTCTTCTCTTTTCTTTTGTGTTCTGTTGTAAAAAAAAGAGAAAGAATAATTGTTTGCGTGTGATGCATGATGAAAGAAACAGATGTCGAGCTTGGCCTTTGGTAAAATGTACCCTCTTACAATTCTGCTTCTCTTTTTTTTTTTTTTTTTATTCCTCATATAAAGAAATATAATTTTAACAAGGAAAGCCAAATGTATATAATCTTATAATAAACATAGAAAACTAAGAACAACAGGTTTATCAAAAATGATTATTAGAATTTGATTATTTGAAAACTGAAGAAAACAATTATTTCTATGAAAAAATACGAATAATATTAAAATGAAATTAAAAAACTTCTTTTTTTTTTTTTAAATTTAAAATTAAATTAATCAATGATCTGAACACGAAATAAGGTTATAAGGAACAAAGTCAGATTATTAACAAGTCACAGAGTTCTTTTCTATTTTTGTATTCAATACATAGAAATCTATTGAATTATGAAAAAACCTAGTTTGACATCTTTGTATAGTTATTCATTGTAGCTACTATTCTCAGTATTTAGAATAATCTATTAGCGTTCAATAGTTTTGTGTGACTGAATTAAATAAGCTAATAAGGAAGTTATTAATCAAACGCTTAAATTTTCACAGTTTAGGATAATCTTATATATGTATTGTATTATAATAGTATCGATAAGTCTCTAGAATATATTAAAACTTCTATTACAAAAGAAATATATGTGCAAATTAATAACACTATCATATTCATTCATAATATATGAGTTGATCTCAATTTTCTTGGACATTGTATTGAACTTATTTGTTACAAATTTTTCTATATTTTATTTCATTTTGTATTAGAAATTTTTTTCTTTTTACAGTCATTTTGTGATCGAGAAGAAGATAAATCTGTGGTATTGTTTATTGGATAATGTTTGAGTGTCATATTCAGGATTAACTTTTTATTTTGCACACTTCAAAGTAAAAAAAAAAAAGAAACAAATCAAGATAGACAATCACCTTTTGTTTTGCTCAAAATAAAAGCAAACGTCTACATCAGACTTATAGTATATGTTTGAAAAAATAAAGATTGTTTCATAAGTTTTGACCTCATTTTTATTCTTGGCTGTATCCGAACGTGGATGGATATTGAAAACAAAATATATTTGAAGAGAAACTGTGTTCAATCTGCATTAACTCAAGGAATATACTACATGGATCAAAATATCGAAGAAAATTTATCAAATTTATTTTCATGTTTGGACAGACGTATCTTCATGAATACAAAAGCAAATATACTGAGATTTTCACTATAGATGAGTACCGATTAGGCTATCAATCACAAAAATTTATTCCTTTTTATACAACCAAAAGAGAATTATTCTCGAAATATTGATCATTACGGAATTTCAAAAATCTAAAATTGTATAAAGTTCGGTCACATCGAAAAAATGATTTTGATAATTTTATTTTCGATATTTTTATCAATGTAGTATATTCTTTCAGTTGATGCATATTGAGTCCAGTTTCTCTTAGTTTATAGCTTATGTACTACTCTTGCAATGCAGTCAAGATACAAAAAAAAATGGAGTCGGAACTTATTATGAAACATCTCCTGAATATCTAAGTGTATTGATGTCTATCAAAATTATGTGAATTCGATTGGTACTTCTTTAAATAAAGATAAAGAGAGATCAATAATTTTTGTATATACTATAAATCAAAACACATGAAATTTTGTCTCTTCATATAATGTTTGAATGTAAAATTGATTTAATTCATTTGTTAAATGAAATCTAAAAATATCAAAGACAATTAATGAATTATTCAAGATAACCATGCAACAACAAATCCACAGAATCTTCTTCGACTAATTTAACTATGCTATCATTCGTTTATATGGGTTATCTTTGGTCTGTATCCAGTCATATTATCAAAACCTTGTCTTCTACGTCAATCTCAATGGCGTTTTGATAGTACTCAAAAACTATTGTTTATCAAATAGAGATAACCTGCTAAAAATACAAATGATATTCTATAAGAAACAAGGGCCTTGATATCTTAACAACCAATTGAAAGAATTTAAATAAATTGAATCTATTGAATTCACTAAGGATTATTTAAACAATGCAAGGATAAATAAAAGATGTATATGTCGGAAAAAAAAACATGTTCCGTGATTTTAGGACATCATCCATGTCATTTTAAATTTGCATATTAGATAGATAAATGATGAATTTCTCTAATTCATTGAAAATATAGTTGATTAATAAAGGCTTTTTTTTTTTGTTTTTATTATTTTTTGATAGATACTAATCAAGGCATCTATGCTACTCGCTTTTATCATATATTCTCAAAAGACATAAAAATTATTCACAAGAAACAAAAAGAAGACAATAATTAATAGACAGACAAACAAGTTACATTTTACAACATGTTTAATAGTATCCTAAATTATCAAAAACATGAAAATATTATTAAATAATAGCAATCAAAAAAATCGAGCATACTAAATATCCATAGAAATGTGTATATATTGTTATTATTTATACATAAATTCATTCTTATTACCTATTGCAACTATAGGTGTCTATATTTCTTCAGTTACTTTTATAGACAATCGGAATATGAGAATTTTCAATTGTTTTTTTTTTTCTATAAAGATAGTATCAAGAGATATCTATCTGATTGCATAAATGCAAATGTAGTAGCATGACAATAGATTGCCTTTAATATAAAACTGAAGGAAACTATGATTTATTCCTAACAATTGATTTTCGTATATACAATGGATACTATCGGTATGAGTTTTTTCATTTAAACTTTTATGTTACAAAATAAGAAATAATTCGATTGTTTTGTGATTAATGTTAGAGTAGATATTATTCTTTTAAATAATTGATAATTGAGAAAAACAATGAAAAGTCAAAATAGTTAGTTATAATTCGATTAACTTATTCATTTTTTTTTTGTGTAATTTTAATTAAATCGAAATAATTAAGTATTTGTTTAGTTTTCTTGTATTGTTAAATCTAGTATGAATAAATGTGTAAGTCAATATATATTTCGTTTATATGATTAATAATAATCTTAGAATTGAGAGCAGTTGAGGATAATATTTAAAAAATGAAACTACTCTAATTCTGTTCTTTTTTTATTCTCTAACTTTGTAAACTATTTCAATATTAGGATGTGAGGACATTTAGATAATGCCCTCTGCAAGTATAATTATGTGTATTTTATTTCAACATAAGATCACTATATCAAATTATTCTCTGTTCACTCTTTCACGCCTACAACGAGTTAAATCAACACGTATATTATTCAGTTTTTTTTTT